TGTAACTACTTGGTAAACCGATATCATTTTACCCAACTAAACAGTATTAAGTCCCACACCCTTAGTGATAACTCGAACGTCTTACAAGAAGCAATCCACTGCCCTTTTTGCTCTCTATCCATCGAAATGCTTCGAATTCCCTCCAACTTTATTGGATGTAAGTACGCTGACAACGTAGTCTTAGACAGCATTGCTTCAACTGCTAAATCATCAATGACTCTGCAAATCAGTCTAAACGAGCTTCAGCAGTGGTCATCGTCCCTATCCCCTACTCTCAACGCATCCAAATGCCGCGATGTAACTATCACTTTTCTCCGCACTGACAAACGTGCAATTTTGGCAAGCAAATCTCCCCACACACGCTCGTAAGTGACCACAATACGTACAGTTCATCCACTATTAAATACCATGGTGCATATTTATCGCACAATCTGTCTTGGTCAACACATGTTGACGAAACGTTCCGAAAGGTGCGGAAATTATCACTCTATGCCCTCAGTGAATTTAGTATCCTGTCCATTAATTTACAAATTCGTGACTGCCAGTGTTTTCCCCATCGGTTATATTGCTCGCCTATCGTTTTTCCTGGTCTTCTACAAAAAGACTTCACACTGATTGTGCGTTCCATTAAGCTCATTTCAAAGTGCAGTGGATTGTTCGGAGTCGGGTTGACTACATGGTTACTAAGCACTTTAGTGCATGTGACAAATGCTTTAACTGACGATTTTCACCCCCTTCACTCTGATTTACTTAAACTCCTCTCCTCGCTCTAAATTGGGAGTTTTTTTATTTCACGAACAACACATCACAAATCCATCTTACCGTATTTATCCCATTCTCTTGTGGATGATAAGAAACTTATGAGCAACACCTGAACGCTTACTTGAATGATGTGCATGTACGTCTTATACGTTTTACGCATTTAGTACGATTACATGCCCACGTTATGCCACACTAAATCCGCAGTGCTAGTGTAAAAATGCTGCAGCGATAATTTGCGTTGTCGCAAAAGCCGCTTGGTCGTACTTCCATCCCTGATTCTCAAAACAATCCGACCGCGTAGGAGTGCCGCTCATGCATTTACAGAAATTGTAGGATGGGGCAAAAAGCTTCAACTCAGTGGTGTACGCATCAACGGATTCAGTTGGGCCTCTGTTGCGCGAAAAAGAAAGATAGCGCTGATAGGTGTCGTTAGAATGATCTTCGCAAAATTCACTGAACTTGTCAATGACCGTCCCCAAATTACTGGGATATTCGCTTCTATCGTACTGCAAGGTCTCTATCAATCGGCGCGCATCATCCCCGGCTGCATGTCGAAACATGGCCAAGCGATACGCCATCGGTTGCTCGTCCAAACGTACTAAGGTGTAGTAATCCATCCACGTGCTCCTCCATAGACGCGAATTATTCGCCAAGTTCCGTTCATTCATGTGCAATGGGGCAGGCATCTGAATAGACGCTTGTGATCCAGACTACATTCGAGTGCCACCGATGGGGTTCGTCTTTGTCTTTTTTGACACCATGTTGCAGAACTCAGTCCTTCAGGGACAAGCGTTTATTCGGCAAAGACAAATCGACGAAAATTACAGCATGTTTGGTAAGGCACTCCTCGATATAAGTTATGCGTTCACGTTCATGACTGACGAGTTCTGAGGCAATGACGTCCATCCTTTGACTCCGTTAAACAAACGATAGTTAACTCATATGAAGGTTGGCCAATCCATGTCTAGCAATCAAAGCAGTTACACCCATCTCCCATAGGCTATTTGCCTTGCTCGGTTGGCCCGCTGGCATGACACTCCCATCATATTGCTGACGATCAACAAGCACCGAGATCTTTACCAATTCAACCGCTTGCCAATTGGTGTCAAATCAGCTCCCGCGAGCTTTCAGCAAATTATAGATACAATGTTAGCTGGGTTGTCGGGGTTAGGGTTTATTTGGACATTATTATCGAAGGATCCACCCATTGAGAGCTGATGGAAAGACTGGAAGTAGTTCTCAACCGCGTCTCGGGTTTCACTTAAGAGCGGAAAAGTGCAATACCGTTATGAAGTATGTAAACTACTGGTTTCATCACCGACAAGCATGGATGTCATCCGGATCCTTCTATCACTATTGCCATTAAATAGATGCTTCCTCATGATAATGTCGAGAAGCTCAGATCATTCTTGGGGTTGATCAGTCATCACGGCTAATTTGTGCCCGAACTGCATCGACTACGAGGACCACTAAATGACCTGCTGGTGAAGGATCGCAAATGAGTATGGTCACCTGAATGTCAAGGAGTATTTGAAGATGTCAAGTCTGTATTGTTTTCTGACCTATTGCTAACGCATTTTAGTCCGGAGCTGGAGATCACTGTTGCTACTGACGCGTCAAACTATGGAATCAGAGCGGTCATATTCCACATTTTACCCAATGGTTCGGAAAAAGCTGTAGCACATGCAGCCAGATCACAAATTAAAAAAGAACGAAACTATGGGCAGATAGAGGAGGCTGTGTTTGCAGTCAAGCGATTTCACAAAATGCTATATGGACGCAAATTAACGCTCTTTACTGACCACAAACCTTTGGCTGCAATCTTTGGATCAAAGAAAGATGTTCCGGTCTGTACGGTTAGTTGTCTCCAATGCTGGGCAACGGTTCTACTTGGTTACAATTCAGATATCAAGTACTGATATACACACAACATCGGCCAGGCGGACGCGTTATCTCGTTTAATTGGTACAAGGTCGAGAACCAGAAGATTTGGTTGTTGCTTAAATCTCCGTGGAACCACGGGTAAATCAAGTTGTGTCCGACGTTCTCCGTGCCTTACCAGTAACGTCGATATGGTGCAGGAAGCGACTCGTCATGATCCTACCCTACAACAAGTAATCAAGTTTCACCTCAATGGCTGGCCTAAGAAAGATAAAGCCGGAGCTTCAACAGTTCAACCGACGGTAGGAAGCAGTCTGTCGTCAACAAGTGTCTGGTGTTCTTAGACCGCGTCGTCATTCCTGTCACTTTTCAAGAGAGAATTCTCCGACAATTCCATACCGGCCACTTAGGAAAGAATCGCATGAAATCGTTAGTACAACGCTATGTGTACTGGCCATATATGGATTACCACGTCGAACATCTAACGAAGAGTTGTCCCCGATGTGCTAGTGTTTCTAAACAGCCCAGGAAGACGGAATTACAATCTTGGCCAATACCTACGGAACCATGATCCAGATTACGCATCGACTTTGCGGATTCAACAAACCATCATCATTTTAGCATCGTTGTCGACGCTCACAGTAAATGGCGCAAGATGATTTCAATGGTGAAAATTACTACAGCAGACGCTGTTTCAGATCTTCGACGGATATTTTCTTTCTTCGGTGTCCCCATACTTTGGTTTCGGACAAGGGTACTCAGTTCACTTCATATGGATGTGTTGACTCCTGTCACAGGAACGCGATCGTCCACCTAAGGTCCCAACTTTCCATCCACAATCAAACGGACAAGCAGCCGGCTTTGTGGATACACTCAAAAGAGCCCTGTTGAAAATGAAGAGAAGGCACCTTGGCGAAGATTATTGACACATTTCTTCTGACTTATCGCACAACTATAAATCCGCAGATAATGAAGGCGTTGTCCTCGGCTGAAGCCCTGTTTCAGGAGAAAATCCGTACGCCACACGGTGCCCTCAGACGCCGAAAGGTACAGTTACCTTTCCGCAATCTCAAGATGGAACGTTAGTTCGACATTCGACAACGTGCTCGCATACGAGTCTTTTATGTGACCTTGAGATCCGATCCCGGTTGCCCAAGCCGGCTTGGGCAACCGGGTAGTATTTCGCCCTATGACGAAACCGTGGACATTGTTGTGTTGTATTGTGTTTTCTTTTACTATTGCTGTACCTTGTTTTGAGTTCCATGGTTTCCGATGGTGCAATGTCTATTCATAGACTGTTGCAAAAAAAATATATGAGTTCCGATCAATAGCCAACCGTCAAAGTAGGCGAGGGACGTCCACTTTACATTTACCACCTGAAGCCGAAATTTTGTGTAAACACGATTCATACGGCCGATAAAACTACGGTGGTAAACATACATTGTTGTTTAGCCACTTGATTGCTACATCAACTATTTACTTTGGACGACCGAAGTTTAGGTATTAATGTTCCTCCAGTTCATCTGGCTTACAAGCTATAGCCCAGTCTTAAGTTATCGATTTTGACCGTTCAAACAGCTTAGAAATCAATCCCCAGCCCGATTTGACACTTTCCACACACAATGAGTGCTATGTAAACGTTTGGGTTTGATGAGAATTCACAGAAAGGAATCCTTAACAATGAACCAATTACTGATCTTGATTATTGTTAATAAATGGAGATATTATTGATTGATCATCTCGGATGTCCACGAAAATGGCCGCAGAATCGGTACACAACGCACGCTACACTGCTTGGTACTCAGAGATGAAAGACCGATCGAGGCGTTAATCTGTGAGTACAAGTGATTTTCCCACGTCAAAACCCGCTTCCAAACTTTATAACCAATTCACACGGTGCATTACTATATTAGGGTAATCTGGTATATGAAAAACAAGAGAAGGGGTAACAATTGTCGTTAATAATTGCGCTTTTCGACGCTGTACAGCCCCACAAATCGATCGCCTATGAAATGAGACCATTCGCTCCACACTCCAGAACTGGTAAAAATTGCTTTATTACTTCGCCAGTGTCGGAGCCTGTCTTATTCAAACAAAATAAGTAACCAAATTATACATACGCTCTCCGAGTGTTTTCGCCGAGAATATGCGGCCAACTTTTTCCTTGTAACTAAGGCGCTGCAGAGACTGCCAGTCTTAAAAAAGCATTGTTTATGGTCCCCAAATATCGCACCCCGAAGTCCAAGAAAACAAACGTTGTCCTCTTTGGAGAAGTGTGGGCTCGTGAATGTGGGCACGGACTTTTGAAGCAGTTTGTGCACGCCGCGACACCAGTCATCTGCCTGACGCACTGTTAGGCAAACCGAGTTGGGCTTTCATCAAGTAGTGGTGAAGAACCGAAGAGCCCGTCAATAATAAGCATGCGAATATCAGAAGAAATTGTATTCTGCGAAAACAGCCGCAATGACATAAATCGAATGGGATGGTCGAAGTGATTACACGTCAAAACGCCTCGAATTAAGCAAACGAGTCCATGTGTCTTCCAGTTTGCGACTCACGAACCGCCGATTGAACTGCTGTGCATATCGGTCGTAAAAGATTTGATCTTCTCGAGCGAGCTCAAGACGCTGTAATGAATGGGAAATAGTCAGGGATGCTAGGTCAAGTAGGCGAAATAGAGGATGGACCATGCTTGACACTACAATGCAGAGTAACCTAGAACGGCGGATGTTCGGCAAGTGTATGAAGTAAAATTTAATGAGTAGTGTGGTGACGTGCTGGTGAGGCATATATCGCCCAAATATGACTCAGGAAAAAGTGAAACATCATTGAAAAAACTAATGTAATGCGATACAAAGGATGTGATGCCCAAGTGAAGTCAAGCATTATGTACCCGAGTGGGTCCGGTTTCGGTATTTTACAGTATCGACTGCGGTTTTAAAACAATATCAATAAAAAAGCAAAATTTTATAACTCGAAAAAAGTATCATTAGAAGCACAAGTGTCATTCGAATAAGCGGTCCCGAATCTGCATCCTGTTGACGACACAGTGTCGAAACCCGGTTAATCGATCCGGAAGGAGATTCCTCAAATTACAGAGCGCGTCTGATAACTTGGCGAAATATGCGAAGTATCTCAGACAATTTTCAAAAGTCGACGAAAGAGAGAGTTACTGTAACCATGTAACCAGTCAAATTGAAGAAAATGTCAAGCTCAGTGAAAGCTGGTAAATCTGCAGCAGATAAAGAGCGATGTTCCAGTGGAAAGACAACGGCCGACTTAATGGCCCCATCACATGATACGAAGCATCGTTAACAATAAGGAAAGAATGAGGAAAAAATTGTATGATGGGTAAAATCTGCTGAAAAAGGGTGACAACCATTACCTGGGCCAGACAGAAAGCCGCTACAAACGAAACATAGTGACTGACAGATGTGATCATAAATCAATCATGCCAATGCAGGTGAATAACAGAAATAATCGATCTGCTATGTAGAGAATCCGAAGAGTAAAAATGAGCAAGCCTTTGAAATTATAGGAGCTCCATACTAGACAGGGATATAAGTCAACGTACATCTGACCCGGTATCTCACGAAGATCATAAGGATTCTGCTCAAACTATTCAGACGAAGGCTGTGCACAGGTTAATCTCCCATTCCATCCACCGCAACGAGGGTTAAAGAGCAAACCAGAAGCTGAGACGTGATCTCTGACCGACAAAAAAAATCGGGAGATAGCAAACATAGGCTATCATCTGGAAAGCCTAATTGATGATACTATATACTCAAGTGATGAATCACCTGGGAACAAAGACAGCAAAGTAGGACAGTGACTCAATAAAACTATCTATATCTAAAGATACGGACATCCGTCGCCAAGATGCACTGTGCGGTGGGTCTAGCTGCGATGACACAAAGTGTCAGACTAATAATAACGACAGTAAGGGTAAGAGGAATCAGAAGGTAACAAAAGAACTAGGCGGTAAGAAATAAGGGATCGAAAACGGGAGCACCTCTGACTTCGCGACCGTGACATACCTGATTCCGAGGCCCCATAGAAAAAATAGACAGGAATTCCACTTAGTATTTTGATGAATTTCTGCATACTTATCTGTCATGTCATTGACTGACCACTTCCCAATCAGACACAGTGTTAGTAAACAAAAGTCATCCAGTAAGCCGGCGGTTAAAATGCAAAGGCCGTGACCGCGATAACGAAGTGGACTGAGATTCCACGTGCATTCCAGTGAAACAATAGAGTCTGTCGTAGAATAGCTGACCCTCCAGGTTGCGGGTTATAAATGGGGTTATTACGAACTTCCAACTGCTTTGCGGACAGGCTTTTGAGTCAGACACTGGTTGAGGGCTCAAATTGTGCTCTTGTCTAAGATTTCATCATCATCATCGTCGTCGTCATCATCATCATCATCGATACACTAGCTGAGGGTGAGAAACATGTCTCAACTAATGTGCCGCAGTACAAGAATGATAAGATACCGAAATAACACACAAAAATTCAAAAAGCAAGTAATATAAGGTTAAATATCATATTATGAATTTGTTAGAGATCGCGATTGGAGAGGATAAACAAAGAAACTCACAGCACAGACGTCATTGGGGTTGGCTAATAGTCATGTCGGCGACTAGGTCCAACCTAACGTGTTCATCTTCCTTAGGACCCCAGCCAGGCGATCGGGATGCACCAACCGATGCCAACTTTGAAGTGAGTGTTTTCATTCCTCTTGACCAAGTCATTATTTGACCTCCTACTTTCTTCTAACCGCAGCCCCGGCGCGCAAACAACACACGTCGCAGGAGTCGGTGTTCACATGCGCAACACCTAGTCCAGCCAACGGAGCCTAGTGCGTGACATAATGGTGCAAAGCGGTCCACATACTCCTATTGCATCAAATATGTGACGCCGAACACACTCATTGCTCTCGCGGTGCTCCCACCAGACATGAGCTAAGCTACGAAGGTAGCGATGATCGAATGTGACTAGCCTCTATATGTCCGTTGACTTGATGAGCTAGGCTTTCCAACCGTATAGGAGGGTTGGACGGACAGATGCACTGTAAACTCTGCCGAGAGAGTGACGTTGCATCGGCTTCCCAGGTGATAGAGACTGGCAAAAGCACCGCCGAATTCGAAGAGGGCTGGAGGAATTATATCAAGCTCTGCGGATCTATTCAGTTTCAACAGTCTGATCTCACGTTCGATTTCTGGGTACGAGGGCGGATCCACGGTGAAGGCCCAGGGAGTAGGGCGATCAATGGCTGTTGGAGAAACCAACAACTCAGATTGATGAATTGCCTCACAAAGTGTTCGGTCCAACACTCATCATTTTGACAACCTGTGGATCGGCTGTCCACTCTCATCGCGTATCGTCTCGCTAACATAAGGTCTACTGCTGCCTGTTTCCCGTATCAGACGGAACAACTTACGAGGAATACCAACGGCAGCGGCTATTTCTATTTCCAACGCACAGTAAGACCACCAGGTTTCGCGATCTCTCCTCAGGCTAGCACGCAGTTTGGTGAGTCTCATTATGTTAGTTTCCAACCGGAATACGTCGGGGAGCATCCAAAAGACTGTGTAGAGACCCAATGTACAGGTTGGCCATTTGATTTGCTACATAAAGACATGCCTGCTGATAGTAACGTCTGGCGAATATGTGACCAGTGATTGCCAACGGTGTTCAGTGGGCGCCTATTCAGCCCGGATGCCAGTGTACTTTGGTATGCATTCAAAACACCTGGCTTCCCCAGTTGACTGGTGTCAATGTAATCAGATCGATGTTGCAGATGTCCACCGAAGCGCACCCGAAGGGCGGCACACACAGGAGCCTCATCGGAGCCTACGCCTGTGCTCCAAATCGAGCGACAGTTTTAGACGCAGCCTCTCCCGCCATAACTGATAGTGATGTGATCGATTTGTGTCCATGGCTGGTAGGCGCCAAATCATTCTTCTGCGAGTGCTGTGTCGAAAATTAGTGCTCGCGAGAAAGAGACAAGCATCTTCCCACAGGTGCAGCAACCGCGCACCCTTATCATTAAGAGAGCCTACGCCAAGTTGGCCACTCAGAGGAAGCTCATAAGAGGACAATTTTCCGATTTGGGCGTTCAGATCACCAGCAAGCACCACGGTATCCGTACTATTTCTGTAATCTAGGAGCGCAATTCGGAACCACATTCTTCATCACCCGCTGTGTTTCCATAATGTCACCTTGTTTATTGTATACAATAGGGAGAATAGGCGAAAACATCTTACTGCCAGTGCCTTCGTACTTTTATTTTTATCTGTTGCCCATAGTCCTCTCCCAACCTTTATTTCCAATATTCCTTCTGCAACCCATCATTATCAGTACACGCTAGCTAAAGGTGAGCAGCACCTCAACTACCATGCTGCAACGCAAAATGACAAGATAAAATAAGAAAAGCGAAGACAATAAACAATCGAAAACAGGTTATATAATATTTGGTGTTATAGTATGCATCGAGTGTAAGATCGTGGGTGGAGGCGGAAGTTAAGTGGGTGGGGGAAAGACAAAGGAAGGCAAAACAACAAATGCAATTAAGGTCGGCCCTCCGCCATAGCAACAAGTGTATCCAACTAAACATGTTCATCGTCCTTCGGACTTCAGCCTCGCAGTCGGGAGGCAGCAACCGATGCAAAGCCAGAAGTGAGAGTCTACATTTCTCTTGAGTAAGTCATTGTTTATCCACATTCCCCTAGCGCAAGCAACGCACGTCGCGGTAATCGGTGTGCTCGCATACGTAACACATGACAAAGCGATCGGAGCTTGGTGCGTGATGTAACGAAGCTGAGCCGATCACTGGCCCTTCCTGTACCAAATACGAGATGCCGAACATGATCATCGCTCCCACGGTGTTCCCACAAGAGATGTGCTAAACTGTGGTGGCAGCGATGAGCGGACGTGCCAAGCCTCTGAGTCTGCCAATCTGATGATCCAGGTTTCAAGAGCGTACAGGAGGGTTGAACTTAAGGCTGCATCGTAAAGATCTGCCCTTCAGAGCGAGAGCGATGTCGTGCCGGTGTCACAGGCGGCGAAGAGTAGCAAAAGCGTCTATGGCTTCTGCCATGCGGTTTGTGACATCATGCTCTATTTTACTTAAGTTTCTGAATAACTTCTAGCTACTCCCAACCATGGGCCAGGTCAGTACATGAGGGCCCCTAGCAATCTTGGAGGACTTCGAATTTCGAGAGTACAAGGCATGGCCCGAAATGTTGGACACGTGTTGTGAGACGCGACGACAGTCAAAAACGAAGTCTTAGTGACGATCAGCAGAGTCATTTATTGGTAGAGACCTCGCATATTTTTAGAAACAACACCGTTTTCTTTCGCATTATTTCACTGGGTAGCCTTTCTTCTGGTTTGCCTCATTGACTGCGTTTGCTTTCTTTGTTTCATTGGCTCGTGATTGTTTCACCATCCGCTCTATCGCTGGGTTGCGTCTCGATGTTGCCTGGGTTCTATGGCCGGTACCAGATTGGTCGTATTTCCTCGGTTGGTACGCGGGCAGTCAGCCGTTAACAGCGATTATGAGTCATCAGTGCTCACGCATCATTTTAGCTGGTCAATCTGCGTTTCCGACATTTTGATACAC